AACTCTAGGTGTAGTACATTTCTTCATATCAACGAAGGACACTTCACTAAGAACGTGACAACAAAATCAATCATGAATTGACATATATCCTAACCACTGACATTATCGACGAAGTAACACTAAATAAGAACTGTCATTCAGCCTTGGCAAGTAAGTAAGTCTATTACGGACAAATAAAATGGAGTACAGTTCAGCATTACAAGTACAAGATTGCAATTATCGATATAGACACATTGGACGTACTCGGTAATCTGCATTGTGGGCGCAAAATGAGGACCGTTTGGGAAACAATTGTTTTAAAGCTCGGTCATCTCCTTTACGTTAAAAAAAGTTATGTGCATAGCTTTAATGAGAATGTTATGTTGCTTTGTGTATAATCGACAAGGAACGATATGAGCTGGTAATCGAAATAACAAAACACAATAACAAAAAACGCAAAAATTTTTTGGCTCCTCATAAAATTGACCCATTTTATGCGTACATTTTGCATTGTGTAATTATGAAGGATACATTATATACAAAGAAGACGATTAAAAAATGAAAGAGTCTAAGTCCAGGTACTATTATTATAATATAATAATAATATTCTTTATTGTACAAAGAAAAGACACATGAAACACACGTTACAATGGACATATACAAAGGTGAGCTTATCTCTATAAGAGATCTCTTCCAGCCAACCCTAGCCGTGGTGCAAAAATGAAGTCTGCGGGACTAATTAATGTACAACAAAATTTAAATTTAAATGTGAATAAAATATAAATGATAATAATATACATACATATGCACATACACGAACTTTATATACATAAATACATACATAAGCAGAATATATATTATAATAACAGATCATTTGTTTACAAATATGTTACCTATAAACTATCTAACGCGTTCGACAGGAAGTGCTCTTTTAATTTGTGTTTGAAAGATGCCACCGATGGACTATCACGAATGTTAGCAGGTAGTTTATTCCACATACGAGCTGCACTTACGGTAAAAGAATTGTGAAAGAATTTGGAGTTGGATTGGGGATATAAAAGTGTTCTAGTGTCACAGGTACGTTTTGGGCGGGAATTGGGGGATAAGGGGGAAAAACGGGAACACAGATAATGAGGAAGCTGGGGGTAATTTAAAATTTTATAAAGAAGACAAAGAACGTGCATATCTCGGCGAAGTCGGATTGGGAGCCATTTCAATTTAGTCCGAAATTCAGAGATATGGTCATATTTACGTAAACCGAATATGAAACGGATTGCCAGATTTTGTAGACGCTCTAGTTTGTTAAGCAGCTCCTCAGTAACATCCAAATAACAAACATCGGCATAGTCGAGAAGAGGGAGTAGTAGGGACTGAGCAAGCATAACCTTGGTGTTGAACGGTAAGAAGAATTGAAGCCGCTTGAGAGAATGATAGGAAAAGTGCATGCGTCGACTAACCTCATTTACCTGTGGTCTCCAGGACAGTGTACGGTCGATTATCAGACCCAGGTTCTTTGTATTTTCAGCATATGTAAGACTCACTCCATCATACGAGACCTTGGGGAGATTATTAATGTCCAACCTGCAGTAAAGTCTGTTGCTACCTACAATTATTGCCTGTGATTTCCTAGGGTTTACAAGCAAACCAAACGCATCAGCCCAAGACTTCACCACAAGAAGATCCTTATTAATAGATTCAATGGCAGATTGGGTATTGGCTCCATCAAAATGTCTATAAATTTGCAGGTCATCTGCGTATAAGTGGAATGGAGGAGAAATTAATTTAGTGAGCTCGTTTATGAACAGCGAGAAGAGAAGAGGTGAAAGTACACCACCCTGTGGCACCCCTGAAGTCAAAGGAGACTATTATATAATGTATCAGCGCATGAGTGAGTACAATCACTAGTTGTTGCAATTTTTTGTTATATATTTCAAATTTATACTGTTTTATGAAAAATATTCTATACAGTAAATGTGTTTTAATTAAGATAATATACAGGTAAGGTAAAAATGGCAATAAAAGCTTAACTATTAGAAAGTAAAACTAGGATTTTTAAATTATATGAATAAAATTGGGTCCCCACGGCAAGGTGCCCAAAATGATGACAGCGTTTAGTGATTATGCTAATGCGTTGGGCAAGGTAGCTTGGGTTTACCAGACAGTCAATAAATTTTTTCGATAAAATTTTGTACAGATGAAGGGCATTGGGCCAGGGGTTTTGACTCCAAAGGCTGTAAATAGGTAGTCGGAGCCGAGATCCTGGTACTTATTATTAAAAAAAAGAAGCTGCAGAGCCAGCCCCCTTGCTGGTGTCCTGGAGGTGGGATGGGGCAAGTGTGTCGGAACATGTGGCGTCCCACACCAGTGCCCGGCCCATACTCCAAGGGATGAAAGTCATTCCGTGCGGGCGTTTGTGTTCTGTTCGCGACATGCCACTTGGCTCGAGAATAGCGGGCACGTTAACAGTGGCTAAGGCCCCGCGGATGATGTCGTCTATACAGCTCATTTAACACTATAGGTATTTTTAAAGTTTATGTAAATTGTTAAGCAACGAACAACAACAGAATACAACTGTTCTTATGCTTACGATATAATCAGGCGGAGATGAGCAATCGTTAGAGTTGTGTTAATATAAATAAGTAATATAATAATAATACCTACAGCCACGTTAATTGTCTTGTTTCAAACTAGTGAAGCCCCTGTACTATGAGTACCAGAGCAACGAAATTCAATCCGGGGCGATATCCCGAACATTAAGACCAGAACTACCATATATTTTAATAAAACATATTCGTAACCATAATTTTCACTTAAAATTACACTCACATCCGCTTATGCACTTACATATTGAATAGGTTATTTTAGATGCACTATTCACATTTTATTACAATTATTAATTTAGTGAACAATTTCCTCCTATTCGTTTATTATATCTTTCATTACAAATAACTTCTAGAATTAGTCCCTCTCGTTGGTTCTGACTAAAAAAACTAACGCCTTAGGGAACTTAGGCATATGCAGAGCCAGCGCCATTTTACTGCTATGACAAAAAATGTTTTTATTTTTTCTATTTAATCAATCTGTACCAATGTGGAAATATGCCAAAAACTGGTCCTACTGAGAATTTAACTCTCTTCATCCACTACCTACAGTGCTAACTGTTGGGTCAACGAGGTTATCGAATTACTGATAACGACTCTACAACTTTCGTTTCCTTGACCCTGCGCTTGCTCCAGATAATGTACGTATATTACAGGTATATGACTCAAGCAAGATAGATAAGAACATAACCTTAAAAAGCCGCCATTCTAATTTTATGCCTACAGAACTTTTATTGTTATAAGAGTTTTAATATTTCTATGAAGTTGGTAATGTTGTTACACTGGAAAGTAATACAAAGCAATGGTGTATAATTTATGAAATTAATGAGACCCTGACTTGCTTATTCATGCCCTGTGCAGCCCCTCGTTGTCTAGGAGTCAGTCTATATACATATCATAAATTCATTTACGAGACTGATTGCAACGGGTAATAGAGGGGCCATATTTAGATAGATATTTTATTGCACGAGGCCCCAAAAATCAACAAATTTAGTTGTTATGGCGACGACTGCACTTTTTATGTTGTTTATTGCAAATTAATTGAGATTGCAAATTAATAAGCATATTATTTGTGATATTTAATATTAATGTTATGTTTACATACCATTATGATATATGTACGAATGGAGCATTACCACTAAAGGGCATTTTATAAATACTACGTCAAAATTAAATTGAACCTGAATACCGATACCGTCTTTTCTGTTTAAATATTCGAAATTTTCATTACAGGCCATAGAACCGGCGAGAACCTAATACACATGACCGAAATAATTATAATAATGTGTCAGACTACCATCAGTTACCTGGTCTCAATTTCCAACTCGTAGTGCCAATTTCTGGGTCATAGGGGTCATTAATGCATTTGGTAAATAAAAAACACACATGAATGATCTAGCCCGAAAGGTCCACATATTGGTACATTCACCTATTACTCAGCAATTGCGGTGACTTAATGACTAATTAACGATCGCACTTGACTTGCTGCTGGTTTCAAAACACTCGACTTGAGTACACGTTAGCCATACATACTGTCACTTTTTAAACTGCGAACTCTAAACTATCAATCAAAAGTATTACGTATGTAAATGACAGAGGTACAATTTTTGTTAATAAATCTGATCGATTGTACAACTGTGCCTGTATTATAATAACTTTTTTATAAAAAAAAAGAGACCAAGAGTTTGTGGAATTGCATCATTTGCCGAATTTCATTGTTGAAATCGGTTAAAGGAAAGTGGGAAAAATATAATACACCAGATTAATTTCCTAATTTGCCACCGTTAGAAGTGGAATATTTCCTTCAACTTTGAATGGAAGTACTACTGAAGTACCCTTTCGAACAAAAAACAATTATTGAAAATCGGTTCTATTCACAAATGTTGGAGTAATCGCCAGACATACAAAAAATTGGACTTTCGAATTGAGAACCTCGTCCTTTTTTGAAGTCTATTAAAAATCAGTTGTTGTTTCAGTGTAATAAATCTCAATAAAGATTTGTAGTCAATAAAAAATAACGGATAAAATAAAGTAAACGCGTAAATCGCTAGCCACTTTTCCAAAATAGGTCACCCATATCCCTAAATCCGTTACTGGTGAATTGTGCTATGAAACCTATGTTCGAGGAGACTCTCTAAATTGTTTTATCTATGCACTTTATCTGTTGTAAATTTCTCTGGTTTTGATCGTAGTCATCGCTTTCTCATTGTATAATTGTAGACCTATCTTCCTAGAATGAAGACGTTCAAATATATTTTAATATTGTTAGTGACATTTAAGACACTTACCAGATAGGTAAGGGGTGGAAAAAAAATGTCAATATGTTATATGTACATTGTAGGCAGCCCCTAAAGTCAGGATTGCCATGATATTGTCCAACCTCCTCATAGGAGAGGAATTTCTACAAAAATAGTAACTTACCTGAGTTGGCCGAAGGGCACTAACAACAGCCAGAAGCGCAAGCGCAGCCGCGCTCCACCACAGTGCTCGCATCCTGTAACAAGGGAAAAGAATATCTTCAAGAGTTTTGTTTTTGTTTCATTTTCTCATTTAGTACCACGATTGACAAACTTTGAATTTATTTGTATTGTATGCAGAGCAGAACTGCGTGCGCCGGCAAATAATAAAAGCCTTGGCAGATTCCTATAAACCATTGGGTATAGCGGTTTACTTCGTATCTTAGGAATATGCTAATATTATCTTATATATACATATAATACATTCTGATTGATGTAGTGCAAAAATGGAGCGGTGATAACCTAGTAAGATAATGGATGCGTCTCAATCGATAGGTTAACGGTTTGAATTCTGATGAGGTTTGCACCTATGTTTTAAATTTTTAAGATATGCAATACCTCTTGTTAACGCTGGAGCATAAAGGAGACCATGCAGTGAGGTGTATAATAAGTTCATAATGAAAATAATGTCATATGTGTATTGTAGTAGGTGACGAAGACCAGGTCAACACTCTCCAGCGGCGAAGCATGCATGTTCAGGCATGCGTGCGCCTGTTGCAACTGCGCTTTCCTCCAGTTGCCATGTAGAGCATTGACGTGATTACATCACGACACTAGTTAATTGTCTAATTTCTTCATTAACATAGAAATGACTTAGCTTTTTTTAAACGTCAAGTTTGCTTTATGCACTGGCGATCTTTATTTAAACCGATGCAAAACGTTCAGAGGTTGGTCAAAAAATCCTATACGTAAAAAAGCCACATTTTGTTAATATACCAACATACAAAATTTGTTATTCCGTGTTGTTTATAATCTCGCAAGACAATTGAGTTAAGATAAGGTTGAAACAGCGGCCATTAGAATTTAAATAACTGAATTCGACTTACATGCTTTAGACAGTAGATGTATTGGATTTATGTTTTTTTTATACTAATACCATGGGACGAACAAGTAGTACGCCTGGTACGATGCGGCATGCCTGTCCATGACAGTTGAAGTGCCACTCAGAGTTTTAAATGGCAAAGATCTGAGAAGTATTACCAAAGCGCCCGTCACCCTGAGATATAAGTTCACAATGCTCATATATCTGTAATTCCACGCTCATATTGACGGCAGAAATTAAGGTGGCAGTACTTCCCTGGACGAACTCTTTCTCAAGGAGCTCGACTGTGACTAAGAACTTGGGCTTTAGAAAATATTATTGTATAATTTTATGTTCTTCCATACACTGAAGAAGACAAACTGCCACCTGCCTACAATTTACCGTGTTCATGTATTCAAAAACAAGAGCTAATAATATTAAGTTAGGGACGGAATGAGACAATCAACAAATAATTTTCTTACAAGGTTACCAACACTCGTAATTACTAATCATTCTTATTATAAAGAAATATCTCTAACAAATTACATCTAATAGATATGCAGTTATCACTTAATACATTAAATTACGATGTAAGATTGAATTGTACACCTTAAATTGACAAGTGTTTCATTACCATTTTCTTTATTTGAGCTAGGACTTTCACCCGGGAATATCGGCATGTAGGCATTTTTGAGACACTTAATTAAACAGTATTAGAAAATCTACTTAACCAACAGTATTTTTTTTATCTAGTTACATGTACATGGAAATACGGTACAACGGAGCTTAGTGTAATCTTTGGAGATTGAAGAGCGGTAGTAATAAAATCAAGCCCTCTCTATCTAAAACTGTACCAAACGCCTTTTGTTTCTTACATGCCTACGATAAAAAGGAAAAAATAACTTTCATAATTTTTTATTTTATAATTTGAGTTAATAAAGGATTTTATTAAAATATCATGTTTTGACTGTCTAAATGCCTAGCCTAATTTGAAATAGTGTTGAAGATCTCGTTTTCCCGAGATTTTCGAGAACTCACCAAGTTTTGATTTTAGCGAGAGAGAAAACCCTAATGCGGCTAGAATTAAAATTCTTCCTGTTGGGGTCTGACTTGACCGCAGCCGTTTAAACTATATCATTCAGAAAACATGCCATGGTTTTGCGACCAAAAAATGCGACCTAGTCTGCCTGAATTCAACGGTTCTACTAGTCCAATACGTCGTCCCCTTTAACATCCATCCATATCGTCCCCGTTGGTTCAGTTTGATCGAGCTATACGGCCTGCCCATTGCCACTTCAACTTGCTAATTCAGTACCATTAGCCACGAGAGAGAAAAGGTTAAATTTTCCATTAAAACAGTTCTCTGTAATTTGCCATATCACTTGCCTACGAGGAGAAAGTGTACGATAAATTGCAATTTGTCGCAATTACGCGTCAACTTCTATTGAATAGACGTGAAAGATGAATGCGAATCACAAAAGGCATCTCTTTATTTGGATATTTGATGAGTAACGTATTTGTGAAGAATAGTCTACTTTAGCCATACTTAATACTGACTGAAAGATTGACAAATGGTTCGTTTTAGTACTTCCGTTTATACCACCTATAATCTGGTCTCAAGTAATTCTATTGGTAATGAGAGAAACCTCTTGTAGCAGCAGTTCATGTAACACGATTTTCAGTTAATTTAAAAAATGTATTCTCCAACTTGCAGCTTAACAACTTACCATACAAACATCCCTTTTCAACACTTTAAGGCTCATATTAGAGTATGAACACATAGCAGTAACACCGTAAGTATTAGGTACGTACACATATAATGTAATCGTATAACCGGGTAAGTGCCGGAGCTGCCAGTAACCAGTCCGATTAATCTTTGGTTTACTATCACCGCCAACTACGTCACATTGTGGAACCTGTCACGTTCCACAATAAGCCGAACGGTCTTTGCAACAACGTTGTATTTTGATAAAACTAATAGAAATAAACATAACTTACTTTCATTTAAATTTTTTTGGCATCCGACTCTCCTAATGTTAAGACCTTGCACGGATCCAAAAGCAACAATTATAACACACTTTCATATATTTCACATACACACACTCATTGTCCGATCAGAACCACTCATAGCTACATGAAAACTACCACTCACAAAACAACACTCACTCTCCACTTTCTTGATACACACTGATACTTAATTATCTAATGTAGTTTAAGTCTAGGCTCTAGACTACAGAGTTCCTTTTAGTTCATTCGTAAGCCATTTGTTGTTAACAATACGATTGATGCTTCCCGTGGCGGCAACAGTACTATCCACTAACGCAGGTTAAATCCTTTTGTGAGGTCTGGGTATTGCCTGACTAGTCAGCAATCAATCAACGACCAATTAAATACACATAAATACATTCACATACAAGGACAAAAACATAATAATAATAATAATAACGCGTACATATTCATAGCCCCGCACTAGGGAAACCCTGAATCACGGGTGCCATGGACACCAAAAGTCATCCTTTAAAACTATTTAATACTCATAATCAACAGTAGACTCTACACTGCCTCCGTAGACGAACAGTTACCATGCCGCGCAAAAAGCCCGGGTTCGATTCCCGTGCCGGGAGAAACATTTGTATGGCCTACATTTATTTCTCTCGTGAGTTTGTTTGTGGTTGTCTATGTATGTCTCCACGGCACCAGCGATAGAGGGTTTCCCTGCGGGACTTTCAGTGTGTGCGCGTCGTTATTATTATATACTATTACTATATTATTACACTGTTCACTTTGCACCAATTTTACCATTATACTACTATAATAGATAGAGTTAAATTGAAAGCTGAAATGTAAAACTAGACAAGCTAATAACCGGTCAACGGAGTTCAAATTTATTACTATGTCATAAGCTGATAGAAGATGGCCTACTAAAGCAAACAAGCCTATTCAAACAGGTTCATATCAAAAAGTACTTAGCAAACTACATAAATGCAATATGACATCATATTGATCACGAAACAACAGAACACCGAATAAAGGTATGACACTACGACATCGGCACTTTTACTTCGGATGTGGAAGAAAAAGCGCGTGACTCAACGATTACGTCACGGAATGCCGCTAGGTTCTCGAACTCTTGTTTTGCGATAATGCAAAAGGTTGTATTTAACATTATAGTAAAAAGGGTACAAATATATATATCTCATTGCTATATACGGATATTATTCAAGGCGAAGGTTTAGGCCATTGTCCACCACCCTTTTTTTTCTTTTTTTTTTTGAAGTTCTTTGCTATTTAAAGCGTTGAATGGCACTACAACTGTTACGGATGGGCCTACGACTTGCTTGCCCCGTCTCTTGATATAACAAAAAAAAACGAAGTAAGATAAGCGACGAAACATTGGTACAATGTATAATTGCCTTATTGAAGCCTCCAAGAACGATGAAATTTGCAGCAATAATCAACAAACGCCAAACATAAAGTAAGCTGTCAAAGGGAAAATGTGTAAGGGAAAATGATGAATAGAAAACACAGAAGAGAAAGAAGTTTCAAAAAAATAACATACGTGTTCAAATGTAATTTGTTTACCTATCAAAGAAAGATATGTTTTAGTTTGAGATAATAAATTCCTTCCATACGTATTGAGCACATTTAGTATATGTGCTATTTCCATCATTTACCTCTATGTAAATTATTGTTATTTATGTATTTCTTAATCACAGTCATATCATGCAATAGAGCATTAAGTGGGACTGAAAAAGGTCTTAAAGTTATTTTTAACTTATGTTGAATAAATGCGTATTGTTTGAAAATCATACTCTTTTGTAAACACAGCTCTTGCACTGGTCCCTCAAAAGAGCAAAGTTCTAAATCTAGTAAGAAACGGTAAAAACGGCCCTGATAACCGGTATGCATAATAATACTATGGCAACAGGTTTGTTATTACTGTCATATATAAATAAATTATTCGGGCAGCTTTCATTCAAATTTTCATATCTCAAATCACATCTTCGCTGTGCCACTGCACATTTACTCCACAAATGGAATCGACTGAGTTTATTTAAATAGATAAATATGGCTGACCCCAGTAGGCTTGAACGAGGAAGTGCGATTTAAAAGTAATCGAGTAAGTGCCGAGAGAAAACAAGATTTTCTCAAAGGTTCCACGAGATAACGTTGCAA